ATGGACTCGAGAAACCTTGGGACATCTGGATTGAAGACCATCGGGTCTGCTCCAGCTTGCTGGAATTCATCGAGGCACAGAACAGCTTTTAAGTGACGGCATCCTTCTGGCGCTGCGAACGACTTGCGACGACACACCTCGGCATGAAAAAGGCGATCGTAGTGATCGGCGTCTTTGTCGGGGTCTGGAAGTAATCTGTATTCGGGCATGCCTTCCAGGAACGATGCGGCATACGCACCCACATAGATATCCAGAAGCTCGAACGGAAAGGACATGGCGATGGCGCATGCATCCTTAGCCGGACCATAAGCAGTGCGACGGCGCACAATCTTTTTCTCGGCGTCGACGACCCGGTACCGCCGAAGCCATTGCATGTAGGACATTTTCCTGGAACATCCGCAGACGTCTGAATCCGCTGTCAAGTAGAACTGATAATGATAGGTGTTGTAGTGGTCCCTTGAGCTGTTTGCGGCTCGACTGCCGGGAATTGGTGCGAAGAGCGTCACGCCACTGAAGGAGTGCTTTACCATCGGAAGCCCCGCAAACTCCATCAGCATTTCCTGCTCCATGGGCGACTTCTTACACAGAAGACGGTAAGTTTGCCTCCATTTTGAAGTTTCTTGTGCAGAACCTTCTCGAGTGGCTTGAGGTGCGTAGAAGGTCAGCGCGTCCGAGGCCTTCGATACGTAACCGGCGACGTACATGAGAAGGTTGTGATGACCGTCACCGCATTGCACATCAACGCGGCAGCGGAAGAGGCTTTCTAGCAGCCGCACGAACTTGGAGGTAGTCGAGGTGCCGGAACAACCTGTCAAGTTGTTGGCCTGCCAGCCAGGAAGCAAGTCCGCCCAAAGAACGGCATGAAGATGCAGAGTACCTCGCGCTTGGAATTCGAAGCGGATTGACCAGTGCCGTACTCTGCTGACGCCAATGTCCCTGAGAGCATGACCGTCTTTCAAGATGTGGTACTCCAGCAAGACTTGCAAGCTGTTATATAAGTGCAACGTCATGTTGGCTTGCTGGTCACTTAGGGAGCCCTCGTGGAACATGCCTTCCTGCAACAGATACTTCCATTCAGCAGGTGCCACGGTGAAGAAGATGGAAGGTAAGGCCTTGTCCAGAGTGCCGGCCTTTTCGAATTCCTGTCTGCAGATGTCCTCCATCTTGTGGACTTGCTGGAGCCAGTACACATCGAAGGTGTCCATATCCAACGCTATCTGGTCTGGGCTAGTCTTCTTCGCATCCGCAATGCTTTGAATGGAGGTGATCGTGCGAGCCACGCAGACATCGTAAAACAAGCACTGCAATGGAAAGTCCTGGACGTAGTCGACACAACGGCTACTGAGCTTCCGCATGATTCCGGCCCTCAAACTAGGCTTGCTGGTCTTCTGCGTCCAGCCCAGCGGCAAGAGACGCTGCTGCAGATCACTGTCGGCACAACTAGCAGTCGGATACAGCCAAGGGCGAGCTGCAACCTCAATTCCCGGCATGTTGAGCAGCATTTCGGCCGTATGAACATTCCGATTGCCGTCGGCGAAGTTGTTGTGCTGTAGCAAGATTTCGTCGTGGCGGTCCACGAAAGCTTTGTAGGTGGTGTTGTGCTGCAGCAACCATGTAAAAGCTCGTGCTGGCATGTTGTCACGTGCCATTTCACGCAATGACTGTCGTGCCCATCGGCATCGAGTCAACGACACTTTTTGCTTGCTGGTGATTTCTGCGTTCCCACCGCGTCGGGAACGGTACTCCACCTGGATCTCGAGAACAGCCAGTTGCTTTAACTCTGTCTTCGTCAGGAAACGTGTCAGAGGCAGCTGGGCTTCTCCCAAATCTCGCAGCCACGGCATCCAGGTGCTTGACTGTGGAGTGACATAGACACGAAGCCGCTTGTGCTCAAGATCCTGAGGAGCTGCCTCCAGAAGGTCCCATGCATCGGGGTCACATCCATCGGCGCAGCGCACAGCGGCCGTCGTCGTTTCTAGAGACCAATGCTTTGTTTTGGTTCGTGTACGTCGACGGCCGCAATCTGGACAGAACGTCCAGGAGCCTTTTTGCAGCCAAATGCTGTTGGCGTCATCTGCCGACACTTCTGTAACTGGTCGTGGTGATGGATTGCCGCATCCAATGGAAAAATTCATGTTGTACTCCTCGCTCCAATCTCGATGTCGTGCCACAGTGCTCTCCTTGGTGGAAGACACGAGCCATCTATGTAGAGTTGCACGAGGAACATACTTGGCGGCGGTCTTGTCCACACTGCTGAAGCCGGATAGTTGTTGGCCGAGCTTGTCAGCGACCTCTACCGTTGACGTAGAGGCTGCCAAAGCTTTCTTCACGATGTCCCAGTCAAGGTCGCTTAATCTAGCCCTGGTACTGGTGGAAGGAGGCTGACGAGCTGTAGATTTGGGTAGAGCGACCTGCGCCGCTCGCATGGCTCTGTCCATGGCGGCGTGGTTGTTGAACCAACGTCGAAGAGTTTGGCTGCGCAGGAAGCCTGGTCCGTCTGGATCTTGTACATTGATCATGGGCATGTCTTGAGTTAGACTTGCCAAAAGGTGTTTCATCGAGATGCTCCTGCGCACGATGTCAGCAAGTTCTTGTCTTTCTTCTTCTGTATACCTGCGTAAGCTAGCTGAGGCCTGGCCACGAGGTCGCTTTGCTGGCTTTATCTCCGCGAAAAAGTCTTCAATTTCTTGCTCGAGGAGAATCTCCAGGTCGTCAGGAATGTGCATCTCCGTGTCGACCTGCTCCGAGACGTCCTGGCGGGCTGCATTGGTCTGGCTGTCATCGGCCTGTGCTGGCTCGCCTTGGTCGAGGACTTGCGCTGTTTGAGGCTTGGCGTCACTCGAGACGCCATCGGATCCCATGTCCTCGGCAGCATGCTGAGCTTCTCGCGGCCTTTTGGCTTCTGGGCGACTGCTGTCCGAGCTGTTCTTGCACTTGTGGTCGAACTCTTCGACTACATCTGAGTCGCTCTCGTTGATTTCCAAGTCGATGGGCGCCCGCGGGATGGCGGGGACTGCGACCTCATGCTCTTCAGTCTTTTGGTAGAAAAGATGGTAAGCTTTCTCGTTGATGCGGTGACAAAAGTGTGTGCTGTCGCGAGCTGGCATGACCTGGCGATCGTCGCAGCGCCACCAGACGTCATTGTAGTTGACATACGCCACGTAATGTCCGGGATGTGGAGTTTCACCCAAGTGCATGATGATGGACATCAGCCTGTACGATCCGAGTTCTGTTCACTGTTCCATCGGTCTGCCATCTCTTCAAGTTAATGCTCAGAACCTGCGGCCACTGCACCACGTCGGGAGTCTCCAAGGGACTCTCACGCAGTGGACTGCAATGACATTGCCATTCTTCCAAATCAAGTGGACTTGTCTGTTGGCGATACTTCGCGAGAGCTTCCGACACGGACTTGGCTTCCTCAAGATGCAGCTGCAGACTGCAGAAAGGTGACGTCGATGAGTGTCGAGAGACGGAGCAGTGCCTGCAAAAGAACCTGGAACGTTCCAGGCCTTGGGAGAGGGCAGTTACTGTCGGACACTTATCGACAAAGTCCATGAGGAACTCGGCAGCGTCCTCTTGGCGACCCGTGTAACACAGGTCCGTCATCGCCCGCGGTGTCTGCTCGCAACCCGTCTGCATCCGTCGCAGCAGCTTGTGCAGCTCCTCCTCCAGAGAGCTTTGTTGGCGAGCGCTTAGAGCACGCACCACCGCCGGGATGGCGAGAATGGCTTGGATGGAGGCGTTGATGAAGCAACTGTTTCCCAGATTCACCAAGCCGCCCAAAGGCGATTGTTCCGCCATGCTCGCCGAAGTCCCTGAGGCAGGCATCGAGGCGCCAAACAAGCCTTCCGCCATTGTGACGAGTAAGAGGCAGTCGGGAATCGATCAAGAAGGCTCAACAGGAGAAGCTCGGGCGTGCAATAGCAGATGCATAGCGTGCTGCACATCCAGGTAAGTACACAAGCAGCTGCTCAATGATTGAAGCTTCTGGCCAGGCACACATGCATTTGCTAGATACATGTGATAGCACACTCAGGGAGCAGCTTTTTTCAAGCATCGGAAGACGGGGTGAGGAGCCGTCTGTAAGCATCTTCCGATAGCTGGCAAAACCTACGTAGACGAGTCCGAGACTCGGGTGTGTCAACATCTCGCCTACCTCCGAGGTGAGAGCCTGTGCTTGTCACTAACTCGTACAATGCAATAATTACTTCAATGTGATATGGACTACGCAGGCTCTCACTAAGCTCATTCAGAACAAGCCGGTGGCGTCGGAGCTTGGCTTGGCACTGGAATCAGGCTCTGCTGCCGGCTTCTGTAAGCGAGCCTGCATGGCCGTGACGAAGTCCTCTTCGCGCATCGGTTTGTGGCTGATTGCTGCCCGAGCCACCACCTCCGCGACATGGCCGCTATAGAATGTGTTGCCGGCCGAGGTGATGAAAAGAAAGCTCCGGAAGGGAGAGCTTGGCTTGGCCAGCCACTTGTACATCTTGCGGGCAGCGTCGAGGACCTCCGCCTCTGTGACTGGGGCTGGTTTGGGACCATCGCGCCGGGATCGTTTGGCCGCCCTGAAGCTGCCGGTATCCTTCTCGACTTGACTGCCTTTCCCCAGATTCAGGACTTTGAAAACGGGCTCCAGCTCGGCGAGCTCCGTGCTGATTTTCTCGTAGTACTGGGGATTGATGAGCTGCTGCATGTACTCCGTTTTGAAATTTGTCGCGGCAGCTTCCAAGGCCGCTGCCGTGAGAGATATGCCTGCTCCGATGTGCCACTGGTCGGTGACCGGAGCACACAGGTGGCTATGGTACATGGCAGACTTATTCCCGGAGTTGACTGCCTTCCACAGGTCTGCCAAGGACAACGAGCTGATCGCAGACTCGCCGTACGGTTCCAGTAGTTGGCTTGCGGTCGAATCCCATGGGTATAATTTGACACGACGAGTGTCCCCTCCGGTCTTAGAAGCCGGAGCAGAGGTCGAGGCACCGAGCAATCCATCCGCCATGATGGTGAGGAGAGGCAGGGAACACTCGAGCAAGCTTAGCAGGAAGGCTTCGGCAGAGGCAAGTTGTGCGCTAGAACATATGTACACAGTACAAGCAGCGAGTCTCGAAGTGGGTGCGGTTGACATCACGCCTGGGACTTCAGTGCTGCAGCTTTTGCTCGCCGGTGAGGCCTCGACCTGAGGCTGTCCGGTCAAAATCGTGCTCCGTTCCTGACTTACGTAGTCTGCCAGCTTCGGAGCAGAGCACAATGCTCGCTGCAGGGAGTTGGCACTTGGCTGCTGTCATTGTCATCAACGATTATATGTGCTCCATGCAGGACAAGTCTGAGCAGGTGGTGACTGCACTGAACGAAGCACTAGCCGTGTTTTTTTGCCGAAAGTGCCAGGCTTATGGAAACTGAAGCAGCTGCATACAAGACAGCATCATCAGAGTTTGCACGTTCGTGACTCCAGGACTGAACAACATCTCTTGTAAAGCAAGTGTCGTCATGTCGTCTGAGATGCTGACACATTTCATTTGGCGCCTTTCTTCTTGTAAGGGCCTCGAGGCCCTCGCCGCACTTTGTGTGCGGACTTTCTATCTATGGCGGGCTCGCTCCATTCTATGCTTCAGGTCCTTCGTGATGGCCGCGTCCTTGTCGTGGATGCGCTCGAGTGCCACAGAAGCCTCTGGCTCTGCAAGCTGAAGCAGGAGATGCGTTAAGTGACCTTCACCATGTTCGTGCAACAGCTGGATGTCCTCCAGGTTACAGAGGTCGCACAACCCGGAAGGTCCTGCTGGTGCAGCCGCTCCGTTGCGACCCATGAGGCAAGGTCCTCGTAGCCCACGGCAATTCCCGTGACCCTCGTGGGGGGCCCACTTCTCCCTGTAAAGAACTTTGCCGCGCTTGTGAGCATCGACCAGGTCGTCAGTCGGCATGGTCTCCATCTTTGGAACTGGCCTTTTGCTTGTGAGGCGCCGGTTCGTGGAATCCTTCTTCTCGAGCTTCATGGGCGCAGGCTGCCTGAGATGCTCGCCGTGCTTCGGCTCGTCCTTTTCGGCGTCCAAAGTGAGATCGATGATGGAGTCGGCTGGCTGAGATCGATGATGGAGTCGGCTGGCTCGCCGTGCTTCGGCTCGTCCTTTTCGGCGTCCAAAGTGAGATCGATGATGGAGTCGGCTGGCTTCAGATAGTTCCACATGGCGGCGGCTTTGTGGACAAGGACAAGAAAGCAGCGGATGCTCTGATGTAGCCGAACGCTCAAGTCGGGCACTGGCATCGCAGAACAGGAAAACAACTGAACGTCGCTGACTGAGCGGTACACGCATGGAGTGCACAAGCTGAGCGGCAAGAAGTCTACAGAGGACGCTATCAAACTGTCTAGCCACATGACCCAAGACAGTGCAGTCGACTGCCGGCGAGCCTCGTCGTTCTCTGAACTGATCGGGCCTGCGAGGCGAACATCAAGCCGGTAGCATCCGTGCTGGGGCGGGCGGCCTTCTCAGGTTCCGCCCCCGACACCCAGCCTCAGCCCCAGCCCGGCCCCCGGGTTTCCGAGGCGTCCAGCCCGAGCCTCAGCCCCAGCTCAACCCAGCCCCAGCCCCACCCCCGCCCTAGCCGCCAGCCTCCCCGACCCCAACCCCAACCCCAACCCAGCCCCAGCCAAGCAGCGCGCCCAGAGCCGCTCTCCTCGGCTCGGCCATGGCCTCCTCGCCTTCAGGCCTAGCCTGGGCTCCTCGCCCTCCAAGTCCCAGGCCGGAGCAACGCCTTCCAGGCCTTGCACCTCTCTCTTAAATGTCGCCAAGCGAGACCATGCTCTGCTCAAAACGCGCTTTATATGGAAATTACCAACTTG